TAGCTTTAATTTGCCTAATTACAACAATAAACCTCACTTTTACACTTTTTTTAGGCTGCCCACCACATGGCTTTCCGTTCTTTGTTTTGTTTGTTCTGTCAACTTTTTAAAATTTGATTTTAAGAAGTCTTCACGTTAATGATATTATGCAGTAAGTTACTTTTTTATTCAAAAGAAAAAAGTAATTATTTTCACATATAAATTCACACTTAAAAAAAATGGAAATTTTGACTTAAAAAAAATAATTGATATTTTATCTACTAAACTATATTCGAATAGTTAACATGACCTATACAGATACTCATATCTATGATGCAGGTCACCTTTTRTAGAGGTAGATATTTGGCCTAATAAAATTACCAAATTTACACAAATCTTATAGAACAAAGGGAATTCGACAAAACTCTCTATAGCGTACCTCAATTACGAATATTTYTTTTTTAGAAAAACTTTAGTAAGATATCTTCTCTTATAAGAAAATCTAAAGTCGATATCTTCTCTATTTSAATCTATTAGATAAAAGAAATTAAAATTAGGAAAAAATAGAGCCGTTCCTTCCCGGAGCATAATTCAAATTTTAAAGATACAACTAATAGCGGAAACTGAAATGATAATTGGGCTTAATTAGAAGAAAAACGGGTGGCGTGAGGCTGGCTTTGGGTTAGTTGATGAAGGCCGAAGGGCCTAACGCTGCCGCCACTGTGCTTACCTGCAACTTCAAAGACGACATGGAAAATTTAAATTGCTATGAAAATACCATACTTTTATTATTCACACCATAATTTTTATTTTTTTAAATTAATGTACTTCACATTATTTTTAATACGAAAATGATATGACARATGATAAATGAAAAATGGGAGAAGTACGTCATATATTTTTCCACATATTTTTTTTATGAATATTTTGTGCCACATACTTTTTCAAAAAGGCAAAGGCACTTGGTTCATTATAATATTCCATTACTTACAAAGTCTAACTTTTTTTTTCCGAATTAACACTCGATCCAAAAACAAGTATGTTAGTGTAATTTTATGTTAAATCATCGCTCTGGGCTTGAATAGGTTTAATATATGTGAATTATTATATCAATTAGGCATCAGGTTGTTTGATTTTGTAATTTAATGCAAGAGAGTTGAGCAAAAAGAGTTTCCGGTTGTTATTCCAAGCATTTCATAGAAATTAGAATATGCATTTTGAAGTTGGGTAAAAATCAAAATGTGATTAAATTAACACTAAGTCTTATAATCTCTATTGGGGGTAACGTGAAAAAGCCAAATTGGATTGTGGAGTTGGGATTGAATAGAACTATTGAGATTGAATAAATAGTCATTGTGTTTGATTAAATGGTCAGATTGTGGAATTCACATGTCGTATGATATATTTTGATCTCACTTCAAGACTTTGCTCTCCAAATTTGTTGGAAGCCAATTTCCTATTTTGTTCTCACCATTATATTCCTCCTTCAACATTACATTAATAAAATAACAGTCCTTGATGGTCGTAATACAAAGAATTCAAAACGTGGTTTAGAGAAACCCTAACATGCTCATCATTTTAATCCATTCTAAAAGACAAAGAATCGTACCCACAGAGATGATCATTTAAATATAGTCTTACCAATATTAGAAAATGCAAAAGACAGAGAATAAATAAGAAAAAGAAAAAGAGAGAGAAAACATGAGTAGTGGATCAGGGTGCGTTATTACTATTAGAAAAAAAATAATAATAAAAAAGTTGGGTTCATGGAATTTGACCAGTCACATAGGGATTCTCCCACATGGGAGAAAGTTGGTGAAATCTTTGGTCAACGCCAAAAAGTGCTTTTTACTGATCGCTCCATTTCGGGCTGGCTTCAGAATTGAGATCCAACCCTTTTTCACTGCTCACCTCATTCGTTCATGTATGTTAATGCTTTTAACTTTTTACTTTTACCTATCACCCATTGAATGTCCTCGCCTCTTTTTTTCTGCACAAATCAATATCTTAATGTTAAGATTATGGAGCAAAATCGACGTCGAAACGAGTCGAGACAATGGAAGAACYGAAGAAATGATGAAAAGTAGATTCGGGCTGCTGCAGGGCCAAGTTGGCCGAATGGACACCATCTTGACGCTAYGTAAATTAAATGAAAATTAAAGAATGGGGTGTGCGGATGATTGGGTCTTCGCTACAAAACTCGTAGCATTGAGATGCCGACGACAACTTTTATTTAAATGACGTGACAATTAACAGGTGACTAGTTAGGGACCAAATGGAAAAGCAAATTAAAAAAGTCCAGTCACTCATTAATTGTCACGTCATTTTTTCATCATCCCGTCAAGTAATAGTCAAAGAATGGTTAAGAACAATGTATAATCAAAATTCAAATTTTGGGATCAAAAGTGATCATTTTGAAACTTAAGGATCAAATTGACACCTATTCCAAATATCAGAGWCAAAAAATGTTCATTTTGAAACTTAAGTAACAACAAATTAACACTCACCTCAAACCTCAGGACCAAAAATGTATTTTTTTTTCTTTTTTTAATCTAAAATAAACCTAGAGGTTCCAATTCCTTCGCTCCCGCCATATAACAGCTGTGATATGATTCATGGAAAAAAAAAAGTTGTATTATGATGGCCTCACTCATTGTTTTGCTAGGCTCAATTAACTAATTTTTATTTGAAATTAACTCAATTAACTWATTGTGTTTGTCTAAGTAGTCAGTTTAAAATAACTACAAACTTCAGTAAAGCTCAATTATAAATTACTTAGAAAGTTCAAATCTCTCAATTCTTTATTGTAATAAGATAAACCAACAGACTTAAATGACTTAGTATCATGACGTTTGAATTTCTCCGCTTAATAATTATCTTTATTGCATTGTTTGCATCAATTTAATTTTATTTATTTATTTTGTAACAAAAATTTAGCTATCCCTCACGATTTGCAAAATTCATCTTAGAACGTAACCTTAACRGGAATGCATTGGAAAGCAAGATTTCAAGTTTTAAAATAGAGCTTTTCTTTTTTACCAAAAAAAATAGAGTTAAAAATTATAAAACTAAACAAATTTAAAAACTAATGACAAAACCTAAAATTCTATGGTTTGCATTAATTGAGAGACTTACTACTTCATGSTTAAAATA